TCATCTCTTTTTTTCCTTTTGATCTCCACTGTTCTTTTACTTTCCTTTGTTCTCATCTAAATAATACATCTAGTTTACGCGTGAAAAATAACGTACTATGGATCAAAACGAACAACAAAAATCTATCTCAAACTGCTTTTCTTGCTATGATTCACAATATAATGTTGCATAATGGTACGGTTCTAAATGTTAGAGAATATAATGTAACAAACCTCTTTAGATTTTCCAGCCTCATCAGTAAAGTCCAAGAATTTTCCACCAAGCAGCTCCTACTAATCCCCATATGACTATATTAATTACAGCCATTATAATTCCCAACTTGAAAGCATCTCTCAGTTCTACAAATCCACCTGCCCAAAGAAAACCAACCAATCACTTTGTTATCGCAGTTTTAGGGTATCTTTAGATCCTGAAAAAATGTCGAGAAACGAAAAAAACAAACCTCCAAAATAAACAGCAGCCTGACCGCTGCTATAGTGAGTCAAAGCGCCATTAAGATTAGTGTTGTAGGCCAAAGCCAGAGCAGCAAACAGACTGGGGACTTTGGATGCTAAGTGCATCCCTAGAAATGCAGAGTACAGCGCGGCGACATGAGCAGTCTGTCCAGCAAAGAGGTAGTGAATAAAGAAATATGCGGCCTGAAGGATAAAGAAAGCCCCAGACCAGTTTACTGAATGGGACTTGAGGAAAGCAGCCACTGCATCTGACATCCAGCTGATGACACCAAGACTGCTTAACTGAGTCGCCATGCCTACTAATACCCCAAACCATGTCAGCGTGTCCCATGCCGACTTTTCGCTTAAACAGTCATCCCACTCTAAAACTCCAAAGATCAAAAGCAACGATAAGCCCACCATTGCTGTTACTACACTTGCTACCCCGATAGAATCTCTGTAGAAAAGGGGGTGGGGGGGGGGATATAATGTAATGAAGCATAAAATCCTCTTCCAAGTCCCAAACTTTGGCATTAAAAAATGGATTCAAGAACTTAAATAAAAGCCAAGTTTCGCATATTATTACTCCATTTCTCTTTTAGAGAGAAAAAAATCATCTTTTTAAAAGATGAATTCTCCATGGCAACATTTTCATCACTGTTTTTAAAAGATCATCATATTGTTAAGGAATATAACAGAATAATCAATGGGATTTAGCAGTCATCATAAGATAACATGTACCGGGAGTAAATAACAATTTCAGCAGAAAGAAAGGGGAGGGGGGGGATTCAACTTACCCGGCTACCCATAGTGCAACCATTAGAAGCATAGTTCCAAGCATCACCCACTCTCCACTCTTCATAGGGCCCATTTCTTCCATTTTCCTTCGAGCCATCATCGGGGCATCTGGCGTTTTCTTCGTTTCAGGAGGATATATCTTATACACAATAATTGGAGTTGCTAAAAGAGCAATGATTGATGGGAAGCAAGAAACCTTAAGCCAAGTGACCCATCTGCTTGAAATCTTAACTCCAAGCCCTTCTGCTAATTTGATGCATAACAGGTTCTGTGCAGCAGCAGTCAGGAAAAGGGCACTTGAGTTGCAGGATGCCTGTCACACATCAACAAGTGAACCCCATTTAACCCGCAACCATTAGATGAACCAAGTCCAAATACCATGTCAAAAAGTTTAAGTTGTAAAATCAAATCTGGGTCACCAATCAGGAATTCAAATGCTGTAAAATCAAATCTGAATGATGACCTGTAACTGAGACTGGACTAGATAAGCCCCAAGCTTCCTCGAAGACTCATCCTTGGGATGGCTATCGGCCGAGGAGGCCAAAGATTTGATAATGGGCAAGAAAATTCCACCGGCGCGGGCGGTTGTGCTGGGCATAGCAGGAGAAATCAGGGCCTCGCTCAAAACCAGACCGTATGACAAACCGAGGGTATTCTTCCCAAGCCACCTCACGAACAACATTGCCACCCTATCCCCGAGCCCGGTCTTGATGAACCCTCTGGAGAAGAAGAAGGAGCAAACGATGAGCCAAATCACCTCATTGGTGAAGGCGGAGAAGGCGGCCGAGAAGGTCAGGGTTTTGGTGAGCACGGCGAGGGTGAGGCAGGCGAAGGCCCAGCCGCCGACGGGGAGCGGGCTGAGGATGAGGCCGGCGATGGTGGTGAGGAAGAGGGCGAGGAGTTGCCACCCTTGTGCCGAGACTCTGTGGGGCCTCGGCACGGCGAAGCGGAAGATAAGACCGATAGAGATTGATATCAAAAGAGGAATGGGCTTCACGCCTTTCCATGGAGGGAGGGTTAATCCACGGCGGGCGGTGGTGGTCGTGACGGCAGCGCTGTCGGGGGAAATTGGCATGGCTGGCGACGGTGGTAACGGAGCCACCGGGGTTGGGTGCGGTGACGGGGTAAATGAGTGGAGGAGATAACGGTTGGGTCCCGGAAATAAAAGGTGGGGCTAAAGAGGACCATCATTACAATCTAAGCACTCATAGGCCTTCTTTTGGAAAACACTTTTCAATCAGCCTTAACGATTTAAATAAAATATTAACCGTGTAAAATAATTCAAAAAACGCTAATGTTATAGGCTATCGTCGGATAATCTTTTCAAAATGTCAACGCTAATCTCTAACGTTGATGTCAAACAGAGCCATAGTCTTATGATGAGAATATTATTTTTAATTAAGTATAATATAAATATTATTTTCGGAGTAAAAAATTGTTATGTAGCATAGTACAAAGGACCATGCTACACTTACACCAAAAATTGTACCTCATTTGTACACCGTATTTATACACAAACATTTTGATGATTTACACCGACACAAGTGTTGGTGCGTTAAGAAAAATTTACACGGACACAAAGTGTTGGTGTGTTAAGTAATTAATACTCCGTAATGTCTATCTTTAATTATAAACTACTTCTTAAATGAATTAGATTAAGGGTCCGTTTGATATACGGAATTGGTAAATTTGGAATTGAATTAGAATTGAAATTTCATGGGATTCAATTCCATAGAATTGAATTCATCAATTCCAATTCATTTTTTGCACTACCAAATCCAAATCCAAATCCAAATAATTTTTGTGCTACCAAACACCAGAATTGGAATTGAAGTTCTCAATTTCAATTGCATAATTTGAATTCTGTATACCAAACGAGGCCTAAAAATTCTTTTAATCAACCCCTTGGTTCCCATGACATTGGAAATCAATGTCATTGGATGACCTAGGGGGGCTCCGGTGCCCCGTTCGTAAAATTGACGGTTCCTATGCTTCCTAACCTTCCGGTAAACCCCCACTCCCTTCAATTGTACTCTACAAGTTAATTTTGACTTTAGTGTTACATTTTGACTCCAAAATCAAAATTAACTTGGGAGATCCAATATAAAGGTATTGTTTATTCAATCTCAACTTTATCTTTGAGTAAACAAAGGCCATAGATATTCATCCCTAAATATCTTTATAATACTCTCTCCATCCATTTATTTCTTACTTTTCTTGTTGGACTGTTCAAAAAAATCTTTTCTATTTCCTATTTTGACAACAAAATTTTGATAATTGTTCCCTCATACATTCACTTTTATGTATACTATTCACTTTATTCCATGACATCAAGGGCAAACACATACAAAGTCTTTAGAGTTTTTAACTTTTTCTTAAACTTCATGTCAAGTCAAACTGGGAAAGAAATTTTTGGACGATGAGAGTATTTGACAGCCATGAAGGGAGTATATATTATGATGGTCTGACATATAATTTGTATTGATTGCGATTTCTTTTTATTATGATGATGATAATGCATGACAGTATCTGAAGGGCTTTTGGGACCCCGGATCCTGGTAGGCCACAAGTGATATCATTTGTTTTTCGTGAACTATGTCATAAATTGATATGACCATGTTGGTGATAAACTGTGACCTATGTGTTGAGAATTAAACAATAAGTCACCTAGTATTTCAAGGCAAATTTGAACTTAATTGAGTACTAAATAACCAATAAGACTTGTTAGAAATCAAACCATGTGTGGTGGGAGTGCATACTCAATGGCCTAGGGTTAAAAACGCACGTACAGAAATCCGTGAACAGCCTAGACACTTCCTTGGCAGGGGCCTGCTCATTTGAAGCCTATTGAACAACCATGTTCATTTTATCCATGGAAGCATACATTTTGTCCAATGTCGGAATTCATTTCTAGAGATTTAGATGACAATAAATGAGTGAGATGACAATCTAAAAATTGGAGTTGCACATGTGATGAATTTATAGAGTTGAAAATTAAAAAACAATTGAAATTGAAAAAATGATAAATGCAAAACAAAAATTAATTATAACTATCCAGTGGCGTAACGATCATCTATAATGGACTCCGCCGCTACCTCTTCGCCCATGCCACTCGCCCGCCTTCAGTGTCGAAGGATCTTCGTTCATTCCGCTATCTATAATAAAGTATTACTATAGTTGTTTTTTAGTTGAAAATAGTTATTTTTATAATTATTTAATAGAATGGACAAAAGAGAGAGATAATGCTATTGATCTTTTTGAGTCATTATTTAAAGAATTTCAAGCGATTTACGGTAATGCACCGGAAGAAACAACACAGCCTCCGCCTCCCAAGGCAAAAAAAGATTTTAAAGGGATAGTCGGTGGCCTCTTGGCAAAAAAAAGATAAGCTTAATTCTACCTCAACGAGTTCAGGTGGTACAACTCTAAGTTCACACAACAAACTTCCTATATACCAAGGAGTGCCATACGATTACGACGAAGACAACGACAGAGCTTTCGACGTCCTCAAATGGTGGAAGCGGAATGAACACATGTTCCCGTATTTCGGAATGATAGCCAGACAAATCTTATCCATGCCGGTTTCAACCGTAGGTGTGAAACAAGAATTCAGTTCCAGCGGCAACATTCTAACCGACTACCGAAGTTGTCTTATTGCGAATTGCTAGAGACACTTGTTTGCAACCGAAATTGGCTCTTGGCAAGATGTCGAGCTCAAGAGTCAGGATACGACATTGATCCCGAAAATTACATGAATGCAACCACATAAGGAAGCCCTAGTTCTGAGAAGTAAGTGAATAACTTTGTTTTTTAAATTGTAATTAGTTTTTTAGGTGAGGGATATGTAGTTGTGTTTTGTACTGTTCATTTTTCATTATATAAATAACAGCTACATTCTTAGATATTCTAATTCATAAAAATTAAAAGGTTATACTCCATCCGTCCCCAATTTGATTACAATTTTTTTCTCTCCTCTCGGTAACTTTTGTTTGTTTATGTAATTTCATTAAGTATTTGATAAAATAAAATATTCTTGTCACCTCTTGTCTTGTAGAGCTTTTGACGTAATTTTTAGTATGTAATTTTTATTTCATATCAATATATCAATTTATAAATAAAATGATTTAAAAAAATGAGATATTTCTCCTCGTAAACTCTAATTTGTAATTAAATTGGGGACGTTAATTTTTTTTTGTTTTTAAGCTTACACATTTATAAATTATTACAAAAAAATATTTAAAATAAAATTGAAGGCAGAACAAACTGGCCCAACAAAGTGCAAGAACTGCCCGTGCCGATATACCGGCACCGGCACCAATTATGGTGTCTTGGGTGACGGTACCGGTCCATGCATAGGACCCTTGGTTTACACGGAAGCAGCAATAGTAATACCTTGTGTTTCCCAATTTCAATGTGTTCTTTTTCGAGTATATAACCCAAGAAACCCTCCAAATTTCTATCTCCATTTTCTCTCTCTCTCTCTCTCGAGAAAAACCCTGATGCGACGATGAATAGACATGAGTCAGCTTACGCCGGCCGGCCGCACTCCTCGTCGAGGACGTGTGGCTACGCGACGGGCAGTTACTACAAGCAGCAGCGTTTTCCGTCTCGGCAGCAGCAGAGTCGCCCTCTCCGCAACCACCGCGGTGGCCCTCCGGGAGTGAGGCCTTCGTGGAAGCCGCCGAATTTCACAATCCTCCTCCGGCTGAGAAATAAGACGCTGACGAGGTCGGAATTGGACAGCCTCGTTGAGGAATTGCCCCTGCGGCCACATGATTTCTTTTTGTGTGAGGGCAATGTCTTTTCCGGGAAGCTATTTTACCAGCAGTGGTCGGAGGCGCTGGAGGTAATTGTGTTCTTGTGGAGACAACGGCTTGACGGAAAGAGTTCTGTGACGCCTTTTCTTGAGCAGAATGTGGAGGTGTCTTCGGACAAGCTTGAGTTGGGGGAACGTATCAAGGACCTGTTTCTTGAGAAGCTTGAGGAGTTATTGGACGGGGAATTAGTGCAGAAATGTCGGAAGAAGTTGGCACTGGTGCTAGACGAGCTTGATAGGGTCTCTGCCCAGCTCCGGAAACCCAATCCTCTAGGTGTTGCTGCTAATCTGCTGAAAAAGAAGGATGCTTTCTTGGCCGAACGAGATTTGATAAGTAAAAGGATTGAGGAGTTCAAGAATGGGGTTAAGTTTATAATGCTTTATTTGAAGCAGGAGAAGGAGAAGAATGCTTCTGGGGTGAGTCTTTTTCAGCTCGATAGAAAATTCGATTGGGACCAGATTCATCATATAGTAAATAGGGAGTGTAGAAGGCTAGAAGATGGCTTGCCCATTTTTTCATTCCGGCAAGAAATTCTCAGTCAAATACTTGGCCAACAGGTGATTACTTGTCTTGGTTTTTTCATCCTATGTTTACTGTCTTGTTCTTGTATGGTTTGTATTGTTCTTTCAACAATTATCTGTTCACCATGTTAGAATATATATTGATGGTCCATTTCTTTTACCCTTCTGTTGCAATGGTAAAGTCGTAAAGCCATCTATTGCAAGAAAGCATCTCTTTACCATTTTGATTTGAGCAATGGTTATACCGTATAACTTGTTAGAGGATTGATGTCTGACATTGAATTAGATGCTGGTGGATAACTTTCTTATGTGCTTTCTAAAATGCCACCTTGGTTTTAAAAGCAAAATTCATCCACACATCCTCTGTACTTATAGAACTTTGCAGCTTGTCCTGTCATATCTAGGTATTTTCAATTTTAAAGGTGGAGGTTTTGGTTTTTTTGAAATCATGCACACATAATCAATCTCCCAGCTTTCCTGTGTTTAATGTCCAATCGCTGTAATCAGGTAGCCTTAGAGGTGGCGGATTTGGAATTGTTGATATTGAGTCAGTGTCTTATGTCTTCACTAATAGAGGAAGCATACCATATAGTATTAAGTGCCTAGTATTTATATATCTTGCCATGCATGTTTGCCTTATGTTGAAGTTAGCTCTTTTCACATTTAGTATTACAAGCAAGCATCATTAAAGAGATTCAGGTACTCGGTTCATTCAAAACAACAATGCTATTAAAAGATACATTGTGTATCAACAATTTCTTGCTTTAGATTCAAATATGTTGATATTTGATGTATATAATCCTTCCAATCACATCTTGACTTCAAAATGAATGTTATTCATTTAGGTCGCTCTTTTGACCGGTGAGACTGGTTCAGGAAAGAGCACTCAGTTGGTGCAGTTCCTTGCTGACTCAGGAATTGGTGGAAATG